ATGGATCCAGAGATCAGTTTATTTTCAAATATCAAAGTTTCAAAAAGAATACATATTCAGGGTAAAATTAATACATCAATGCAAGAAAAATAACAGTCTGAGAATATTTATTTTCAAATATCAAAGTTTCAAAAAGAATACATATTCAGGGTAAAATTAATACATCAATGCAAGAAAAATAACAGTCTGAGAATATAAAGACAGGCATTGCTACATATACAACTGAGTGATAAAATTTTAAAACTATGATTGTATGGAATTTTGAAAGTGCCGTCATGTAAAAATAGTTCTAAAGTTCGTTCTTTAAAAACAAATATATCAAAATTCGATTTTATTCATTGTTCGATATAACTATTCTGGGTACTGTGGACCATTTTTGCCATTAACGAAAAGACGCCAAACTATGCGATGTTTCCCCAAAAATGGAAAGCCTTCTTCAAACACGTTGGGTTTGGTATAACCTTGATCACACATGTTAGTTATTATTCTTGAGTAAAGACTCATTTTCCTCCCTCTATCACGGATTTTCGAAAAAAAAAAAAAAAAAAAAAAAAAAAAAAAAAAAAAAAAGATTAAAATTTGGAACCTGCCTACTACAGAAGAGCATGCTGTTGAATATTTCCAGAGTTATGGAATCTTACCGGCCTCAAAAAATGTGTTAATGGCCACGGAATGGCGCTTTATTTAAAAACTGAGAAGCAATGGCGCTGCAACGTTGTGCGAAGCGAGTGTCAATTCGAAACAGCATGTGGTTCGAGGGTTCTACTATTTCATTTTGACTGCGCTCCGATTCATTTATAGTTGGCGCAGAGAACTGACGACTATTGAATGGGGAAAAGAGGAATTAGAGTTAAGTGACAAGACTGAAATTGGAATAATTACCTGAGAATAACTTTCCTCGCGACAATTAAAACCTAGCGAAAATAAGCGCTTTTACAGCATATCTCTTTAATAAAAAAATAATGGAAATTTATAATGAAAAGTTAAATATAAATAAATAATAATATAATAAATTTGAAAGAAATATAAGAATAGAACGTTTTTTCTTGTATTTTGTAAATATGGGTTTTTTTGGGGGGAGGGGTTGGCGCAATTGGCGCCGTCTCTTGTGGCCGACGGGATTTTCCTTAAGTACCACTATTCTGTTTTGAGTGAAGGCCCACCAGCGGCCGAGCGGTAAAGTCGCTAAACACTGGTAGTTCGGTCCGAGGTTCGAATCCCGCGAACGGGCTCGCTGCATGGGCGTTTTCGTGGTTTTCCCATGTGTAACGTGTATACGAGCCAGTTTCCCTTAGAAAGTCCTCCACGAAGGCATCCCTCCCTTTAGGCAGATAGCCCTCGAGGCTTTGCTATTATCACACACACATATCTGTTCTGAGTGCAAGATATTGTTCATTTTTAGAAGCAGTCATAGTGCAGTTCAATTCTATTCATAGTTCAGTATACATATTCGAATTTAAATACAAAATAAAAATCCATCCTACTTCATAGCAAAAAGTTACAGTATACTGCTCATCATTCAGAGTAAGAATTCAAAGAATATCCCTATTTACTTTTTCCCCTTATTCATCGTTCACTGCTTATTTTTCACTGTTCGATTGTAACACTATCCATTGTTTTCAGCCTGTTTTTTGATTTTTAGTTAATACTCGATTCACTATTCAACACATAATTAAAAAGCCTAGAAAAGAGATATTCATATCAGCTGAAGTAAGTTCGTTTTTAAGCCAAGAAGTAGATTTTTCATAATTGTTAAGAAGATTTTATAATAAATATTCAAAGCACTTAATCATAATTTACAAAGTCACAGAGTCATATGTGTTCCGTGCTCAATATTCAGGTGCAATGCTATATTTAACACAAATACTTTAAATGATTAGGAAATACCAAGTAGCTTTCGCGATACTGGTTCAGAATCTGTAAACAAAGCACAATCGGCATTTTCACCGGCCGATTGTAGGTTCAGTTTATGAAGCTCGATATTATTCTCAAGCTGAACTAACTTAATTTTTTCGCTCTTTAATTTTGACTGTTCTTCAGTCACTTTGTTCTTGTGACCCTCTGCAACAGCTTTAATAATTCTGGGAAAATTTCAGAGTCAGTTTTGTAAATACTACACTGATGAAAGAAATTAAGAGAATTTTCATATTTGATCTACGATCTCAAGAACTACGGGACAGATTTTAATAAAATTTGGTGTGAACATAGGTTGGCATAATACAAACAAAACAAACATTCAACAGTTATAATAGACACATATGTTCGTGTGTAACACTCATGGGAGTCTGAAGGTCTGAAATAGCGGTTGCAGAAGACACAAAAGAGATGGGTTAATAAGGGGTATGGTCCCCTCTTACAGCCATACAGGCCTCGCAGTGTGATGTCATACTGGAAATAAGGCAGTTTATCAGTGCCTGTGGCAACTGGTCCCCCTCATTCAGCAACGCTGTTTTCAGTTCCTGGATGGTTCTAGGAGGAGGATTGCGAGTTACAATTGCCCTCCCCAGAGCGTACCAGACATGATTTATAGGGTTGAGGTCTGGAGACAGACCTGGCTAATTAATCTATCCGGCGAATATCCTCACTCTCGAGAAATTCTTCGACAAGAACAGCTCTATGTGGCCTCTCGTTATCGTCCTGTAAGATGAACTCGGGGGCCCACTGCAACCCGGAAAAGGCGAACATAGGGCTCCAAGACCTCATCCCTATACTTCACACCAGACACAAGCCTCTGTCAAAGACGTGGAGAGGTGTGCGGCCATCCAACATGATGCCTGCCCAGACCATTACACCGACATCGCCATAATCGTTGATTTCGTGGACATTGGAGGGTAGGTACCGGGTCCCTGTGTCTCTCCATATGAAAGTACGGCGAGAATCGGTGTTTAGGGTAAAACGGGACTCGTCGGTGAACAGGACGGTCGCCCACTGCTTCATATTCCAATCACTATGCTGCCTGCACCATGCTAACCGGACTCTCCTTTCCGTAGACGTGAGCGGGACGCAAACAGGCGGTCTCCTGGCAAACAACCCTCTCTCATTCAGTCTTTTGGAAACAGTCACCCTTGTTACACGGGCTCCTGTGACTGCATACAGGTCCTGAAAGAGCTGAGAAGCTGTAGCCTCTCTGTTACGCCTCGCTAAAAATGGACAAATAGTGACCTTCTTTGGCCTTCGTGGCTATTGGACGACCTTACCCAGGCTTTCTATGGATCCAGTATCCTGGAACTGTTTCCATAGGTTACACACGACGCTGGGCGTTAAATTAGACTCTCTGCATATCTGGACTTGCGATTGGCCTGCCTTTAGCCTCCCCACAATTCGTCGGTGAATTCCATCATCTAAACGTTGGTGGTTACTCATTTTTACTGTTTCCGATGCAAATTTAACCGATTGCTGCAAGATAACACCAAGAAATTCTTCCAGGTATGCTAGCGAACGCAATTCGTCCTACCCTCCACGCGTTTATAAAGCCTGTTTTTCAGCTGGCTCCGCCTACACACACGTATACGCTTACGTATTTGCCGTACAAGATATGCATTTTTATCTAGAAGCAGTGGTTTTTCCTTCAGTTCAGTTCTTTTCATGAAATTCGATAAAATATGAAAATTCTCTCAATTTATTTCACCAGTGTAGCATTCTCAATAATAGTTTTGATGTCAGTCACTTAGGCCGGCACTATTAGGCCTAACTCTTTTCAAATCAACTATTTTTAAATCTTGCTTTTCATATTATTTATAACACTAGTGATTACAAAGGTAAATTGATACAAAACAGTACTTTACCTTACTTGTTTCTTGGAATCTCGGACAGACGCCCCCTAGATTTCTGCGGGGGAAGTTTAGGGTGATCTCCCTCAGTAAACAATGAGGAATCCTTTTGTTTTCTACACTACAGAACATTTAATAATTATGTAAAAAACTACAGATTTAATTGGAATTTAACAGTGGATTAATGTCTCCTCGCACTAGTTGAACACAAGGATAATTTTAGATCACTTTATATGTTTACACAGCCACAAGGCGCCTACTCGCGCTCACGATCAGATTTAAATCGAAAGTTCATTGTCACTACCTTCGCGTGGTCTGACCTCTCCTCGTCTGCCTCTGTATGCGCAGTCGATGAGTTTTTCCTGTCAGGTGATGCCGTCTGATGACTGCAAGACTTACCGTTTCCACATATCTACAATAACATAAACAAAAGGAAGGGAGGCCTATTTAAGAACCTTGCGGCTAGACTGCAATGATTTAATTAAACATAATCAAATGAAGGAAAGGGGACTACTTCTATTATTCTCCTAAATTCTCCCAAATTCCAGTAAAGTAAAAATTAAGTATGCCAACAAAGAAAACTAAGAATTACAATTTAAAGACAACGTAAATTCCAATCTACAAAGTCATAATTGGAAAAAAAAAAGAAAAAAAATTAAAACCAAAGGTAAAATAAAATTTGATTTTATAAAACCCAAAGGTTAACTTATTTTGAAAAGAATTTGAAGTATGTAAAATAGAAAGAGACTGAAAAAATTGCCTTACAAGCACTAACTAATAGTAGTGGAATGTATAATATTGAGATACAAAAATTGCAAATAAAAATTATAGCAATATTAAAGAAAATTACCAAAAATGAGCAATTGAAACGATAGCGAAATAATATTGAAACTTCAGGGAGAATTAGCTTATTTCACACTCTTCCCAACTTCTCGGACATCGTGTTTCTTTCTTGTCATGCATTATTATCTTGTCATGCATTATTGTCTTGCATGCAAATTAAAAATTATTATACTTAAGTATTCAATTTTAGCTAATTATATGTATCTCAAGAATTCCCTTACATGATGTAAATCAATTAAAAAATATTTGATACATTCATATAAAATGCAGAAAACATTATTTAAAAATGAAAAAAGAACCGTTAGACAAATACTGAAGTAAAAATTTACATATTTAAAGATTTTTATTTACATTTATTCATAAATGTAAATTATTTCTATTTGTTAGGCCTACTGAAAGTAGCGAAAAGAAGAGTTAAGGCGGAAAGGAGCAAGAATTCGAGAACTTTGTGATGAATTTGAAAGAAGTCCACAAGGACATGAAATTAAAAAAATAGTTAATGAGGTCTGTACCTTATTTTCGAAATTATATTATATTTCCAAAAGTGCATTAGTTTTTCTCCTTGTTTTAAGAAAGAAGACCACATCAATTTCGAAAACGAACTAAAGTCTGTATAAATTATTCGATGCAGTTTTTAAGTCCAAAGGTCCTTGAGTCCACAAGGATTATCAGTCTCGAAACGGCATTTTGCGTCGAATCCCTAAAAGCGTTGATACATTTTTAAAATTGTTGCCACCAAATAATATCGTCCTTATAATATTTAAAGAAATTAAATAAGAATCTTCATGAATTTATCAATGTTTTCCTCATTGTAAAAAAACAACGGCACCTAGAAACATCAACTTCTGGATAACGTAGTCCTCCACCCGAAATATGGCACCTGGAAGCCCGAAATTTGAATTTCGAACTTGTTTTATTATCTGTTTCATATTTTGTAAAACTTCAATGAATTTTTGATTAAAACCTCAACGATTTCAAAGCGAGCAGTAGCAACCTTGTACGCAATAAAAATTTTTTATCTCCAGCATAGCGAGACTGCTTAACTGAAATTCGCTGGTTTAAAAAATTTTATGATTTTGCTGTTGAATCGAATTTTATGTGCCGTAAGCTCCAAGAACGTCACATTTAAATATATAAAAGCAGAGAACATTAATAATAAAAAGACAAAAACAGTTTTGTAAGGCCACTTGTGTAAGAAAACTGTACATTGATATGATGAACGGATTAAGACTGAAAAATAATAATAATAATATATATATATATATATATATATATATATATATATATGTGTGTATATAAAGAAAAATCTGGAAGATTTCAGATTTTAAATTACGTCCAAAGGGGTGTTTTTTAACATTTTATGTGTTACCTTTATTTATTAAATATCACGTTCTTTGCACTTGAACCATAAAATTCAGTTTAAGATTGTTGCTTAATTATCGCAATATCGCAAAATAAGTTTTAAATTGAGCCTATCTTTAGAATTTCCGATACAGAGTCTCGCACTCGCTGGAGATAAATTTTTTTTTTTTGTTTTGTTCTGTACAAACGTTGCCATTGCTTGCTTTGAAATCCCTTGAGTTTGTTAATCAAAAATTCGTTAAAGTTTTACAAAATATGAAATCGATACATAAAACAAATTCCAAATTTCAATTTTGGGCTTCCACATGCCCATATTCACAGTAGGATTACGTCTTTGAAAATTTGATGGCTCTATGTACCGTTGTTTTATCACAATCCGAGACATATACATACATTTATGCAGATTTTTCATTATTTAATTTCTTTAAATATAACACTGGGTAATAATACTTTGTGGCAACAGTTTGAAAAGTGATTCGCCGTTTGTAGTGAATCGACGCAAAATCACAAAACTAAAATAATAGTTCTTCAGGGACAAAGCCCCTTTGGACTAAAAAAAACAAACAAATTTATGCCAAACGTAACACTATCTATATCTGGAGTTTTAAACGAGTACTGCTGCTTTTAAAATGTTTGTAATTTTGTTGTTGAATTTTACTTGGCGTAAGTGCGAAGAAAATGGTGCTTAATTAATAAAGTGAGAAAGACAAAAATAAAGAGGTTTGTAGGAGTAAGTGTAACAGTAGACTGGTAGACTTTGAGCTCAGAGCATAAGAAAACTTAACAGACCATTTGGAAGAAGGTTAAGTTCTTCTTTCAGATTTGTTTTTAAAGGATTATGGCAAAAGAAACAAGAATTTCCATTTAAGGCAAAGAAATTCTTCGCGCTGGGCGTTCTAAACCAAACTGATTAGCGTTCACCTCATACATACAGAAAGTCACAGGAAAGTCTGTGATACTTATTCATGAAGAAATTTAACTGAGTATCTTGCATGAAACTAAGCATTAAATTTTACGTTATCGAATGGTAAATTTTTGAAGATTTGGGAACACCTATATCTTAACATCAAACGAGTCCTCGTTATACAAAATGTAAAGCATCGGTTTGGAGTTCTAATTTAAAAAAAAATTAAAACTAATTAGATAAATAAATAAAAATTAAAAAAAAAATTCCTGAAAGCATTGAGATTTTAACGTCATACTAGAGGTTTTTTGATGTCTTTTTAATGCTCTCGCTGAGCATCACAGGTCAGTAACTTTCTCTTGGAATCATTCCTGAAAACATATTTTTTAAATATATTTGGAATTATCATTAAGCTTCGCTTTCCCACTTACGCCACACAAAATTCAAGAGCAAATCACGAATTACTTAAAAACAGCATATCCTTAGATAGTGAATGCTTTTTTATATTCGCTGCATCATTTTTTCGAAAACAAATGGCCCGAACAGACACTGCCTTCACTGCTTTTCAGTTAAATGGTTTCATACTCAAGAACGCAGATTAAATATCTTACTCTTTACTGAATGGCAACTCACTGGTGTGAGGAGATAATAAGTATTCTATTTGAGGCAGAGGCAACGCATTGCTTTTAATAGTCGAGTTTGTTGATTAAAACTGAAAAATAAATATCTTACATTTTGCCAAATGGCAACAGTCTGGCACGCTGGAGGTTAAAACGTTTTATTTCGAACAGTGCTGTCACTTCTCGCTTTCAAATCGCTGAGTTTGTTAAACAAATATTCATCACATTTGTGCAAAATATGCAATAAAAATAAGCAAATTCTAAATTCGGTCTTCGAGATATCGATGTCTGGGTGGAGGACTATAAGTATGCAAAATTTGGTGGCTTTTTTCCCACAATGCGAGTCTTTTTTCCCACAAAAAGACTCGCTTTTGTCTTTTTTCCCACAATGCGAGGAACATAAATACATACATACAAATTCTTCTTTATTTAATATTGCCACCGGTATTTAGAAAAATAAAGAAACTGGATAGGCTTCAACTAATTTGGAGCGTGCAAGTATTTGTAACCGCAGAGAAAATTCGTTTAGGAGTTTCCAAGTATAACTTCATAAAGTGTCGTATTCATTAAAAATTTTCAGTTCGCTTTCATTATTAGCCAAACTTTGCTTAATAAATATTAATAATGGCTTAATAAACATAAATCTTAATCAATGCAAATTTTTGCTTAATTTAATAAAATGTGTTTCTGAGTGTGGCTAATGAAAATTCATTTGAATTTTTGAAAATTATATTTCATTTTACTTCCACTGATAATCAGACTGATTCCATAAAGTTTGAGCTATGGAAAGAAAATTCATTTCATACTGATCAGGTATCAGTATTCGAGAACTTTTCTTCTGCCTTCATTCACAGTATATTTTCCTCGTATTTATACAAATAATTTGGACAGTAGCCCCTCTGAATAAACAGGTTGTTCTGAAATTAAATCTGAATTAATTGTCCAAAGAAGAATACTTCGCATTGCTCCTATGCAAATCTTCAAGTGGTCGAACACTACTTGCAAGAGACATACTTGTATTACTAGTTCACTTACATATTAAGACACGGAAAGATTAGACATTTTTAGTCTATGAAATAAATTCTTTTTGTTTCGTAAGTGGAAAAATGCTGACTATATTTAATGAAGTACATGTTACGTTTACTTTAGAAATGCACTTGAAACTGAAAAAGATTAATATGAAGACAGTTCGTAACGCTTTTTAACTGATTCATACCTAAATAGAGCCTACTTTTAGCGTAGATCAGGTAATTCAAATTCAGTATCTCAAAAGAGTTAAGTGGTCAATAATGTATAATAATTTACGCTGATTTATGTCCCCATAGAGGACATCAGCTTAGGTCAGGAGTTTTAAATTAAATACTTCAAGAGGGCCAAGTAGTAATCAGTGTACAATAGTTTGCGCAACTTGTTTTTTTTACTGATTTATGTCTATATATAGACCATTAACATAAATTAGGAAAATCAGTAAAACGTAATAGAAGTCATTAGTCTAAATTAGGCAAATTGGTAAGGGTAATAGATGTCTAACTCAGCACCTAAAGAGGGACAAGTAGTCATCTGTATATAGTAGTTTCTAATAGCATTTTCATTGGTTTATGTATGGATAGAGGCCATTAACATAGATCATATAAATCAAACTCACTGCCTCAAGAGGGCCAAGCAGACATCAGGGTGAAAAAGCTTGTAAAACGTTTTCACTGATTTTTACCTCAAAACAGACCATTATTGTAGATCAGGCATGTCAATCTTAGTACATGAAGGTGGCCAAACAGTTATCAGTGGAAAATATTTTGTAACGGATTGTTTACTGATTTATGTGTCGACAGAAGCCATTAGCGCAGATCAAGCATGTCATAACTCAAGCGGGCAAAGTAGTCGGTAGTGTAGAATAATTTCTAACAGATGTTTCACAGAATTATGACTCGAAGTAGTCTATTAAAGTAGATCAGGCATCTCAAATTCAGCTCTTCAAGAATGCCAAGCAGTGGTCAGTGGTCCAATAGTTTGCAACAGCGTTTTCATTGATTTATATCCCCATAGAGGTCAACAGCGTAGATAAGGAATTTCGGATTTAGTACCCGTCAAACTCAGGATCTCAAACAGGCCAAGTTTATTCTGATAAAAGTAAGAGGAAATCTGTTACAAACTATTGCACTCTGATGAGTGCTGGGCTTTCTTGAGCTATTGAGTTTGACATGTTTCAAGTAGTAATCAGTGTGCAATAATTTCTAAGGGTGTTTTCGCTAACTTATCTCGATAGAGGCCATTGGCGTAGATGAAGCATAAACTGACGACCTGAAAATGGCCAAGTAGTTATCAGTGTACAATAATTTGTGCGGATCTTTCACTAATTTATATCTTGATAAATTCCATCTGTGCAGATCAGACAAGTCAAACTCCTTACTTCAAGAGGACCAAGTAGTCATCAGGGCTCAGTAGTTTATAACAGTTTTTTCATTGGTATTTAATTTCTAGTGTAGACCAGGCATATCAAAATTAAGACTTTGAGGAGGCCAAATAATCATCACTTTACAATGGCTCGTAACAGACCATTCGCTGATTTATGTGTCGACAGAGGCCATTAGCGTAGGTCAAGCATGACAAACTCAGTACCT